GTGACTGGCTGCTCCACCCAGTACTTTCCTCATGGGGTTCTCTATAACAACTACAGCCAAACCCCTCCATTACACAGCTAGCAGCTGGCAGAGGTAGGGGAGCAGGGAACACTTGCCACACCTGCTGCTCCCATTACCAACCCCTCCTGGCTCAGCCTTGGGCCACGTTATGCCCTGCTAACTCTGGGTGCTGTGTCCCTATGCCTCAGTCACCTGGCCTAGCTCTCTGAAGGCTGCCCAGCAGGTCCCCATATTACCAGTCTGGGCTTGTCCAGGCCTCTTGGCTGCTGAGCACCCCTTTAATCATAGATACGCACACGAGGGGCAGGGTTGTTTCTGAGCCCCCCCCCCCCCGAGCTGATTGAGGACCCTTCTCAACCACTGCTGCGTTTCCTGGGCAACCATAGCTTTCGTCCATCTTTGTGGGCTCCTTAGACATCTAAGCTTGTCCCAGCCCATTGAATTGTGTCTCTGGTCCCTGCCCAGCTCAGATTACCTATGGCTGCCCTAAGCAGAACCCAGATGCTCCTGTGGGAATGGGAAACCAAGCCAATTGGGAGACCCCGTCTGCTGAGAGAGCTGGTGAAGGATGGGTGCCCGTGGACAGACCCAGCCTTTCTGAGTTTTGTGAGCTTTGATTCACCTCCAGGTTGGAGAGCATCTCTGCCATCATCTCATGACGGAATACTGGTACCTACCTGGGTTGGAGGGCCACCTACTTAATTATTGTAATTATTATTTTGAATTGGTAATATATTTATTTGGTTCAAAAATCAAATCCATACAAAAGGTACACAATCCTTCCCTGCCCCCATTCACCCACTTCTCCACGCACCAATTCCCACGCAGGCCACTGCTACCACTTTTGTTTCTTGTGCATCCTTCCAAAGTTTTTTATACTACTAAAAAGAAAACCATATTCCTTGCTGACCCCGTGTCTGTAATCAGGGCACCATCCGGTCATGCACACGGCTGTGCATCTGGCCCTTGGGGACCTTTCCATGATCAGCTCCCACAGAGCAGCCTCCTTGTTCAGAGTTGCAGTGTTCTACTGTACGATGTGCCGTGTGTATGTAACCTGCCCTGCTGATGGACATGCGCATGGTTTCCAGTCTTTTGCTGTTAGAACTAAGTAAACTTACAGTGACAGCTATACACTAGACTCTCAGAAGAAGGATTTTTGGGTCAGAAGTCACTTGCAATGTTGAGGGACGGTGCCACATGGCCTCCATTGGGGTGCTACCGATCAGCCTTCCGACCCGCAAGGTGCGAAAAGATTCAGTAATTTCCCAAGTCCCTTCCGCCTCTACCAGTGTCTCCTCCGTTCTAAATCGGACTCCTTGGAATGGCTAAATTGGTGTGTAAGGGGTCTGTGGGCGGGGGCCCCATCGGAGTCCATTAGCGCTTGTGATCTCCACCCATTTAGCATTTGTTAAGCCCTATAACTTAATAGACTTTAGGGGCACATCAGAGGCTGGTGAGGGAGAACCGCAGGGCGAATCTAGGCCTGTAGTTCCCAGCCTTTCCCTGGGAAGATGGTGCCAGACCTTTTGAGGGAGGGGAGGGGAGATGCCCACAGCAAGGCGCGATAGTTAAAACTAGTTCCACTCCTGCCCAGAGCTGCAGTTCCTTGGGCCTTCCTGTCGGTGGGGTAGGCGGACAGACAGACAGGCTTATTTGGCCCCATAACGCCAAAGGGCACCAGAAGGCCAGGGGGGAGTTAGAGGATCATGCTGGAGTCATGCCTCTGTTTCTCTGCTTTGATTCATTCATCCGAACTTTTCCACCCCAAACAAGGACCAGAAACAGTGTTGATTTTTATTAGTTAGTGTGCGTTTTTCAGAAATGAGCTGAATGATGTCAGGGCTGTCTCACCCCTGTTTGGATCTATCCATACTGGCTATAGGCGGTGCCTGGGTGCACTGAGACAGGAGGTCCTGAACGCTTTACATCTGGGTGACCAGGGCCCAGACAGCTCAGTTAGAAGGGGGTTGGGTTCAGCTGCTTTCCGGGGCAGGAAGATGAGTCAGACACTAGAGTGCTCCTGCTTGGTGCCCTGGGCCTTCAAGTTAGGAGGAGAGCGGCAGCACGGGCCTCTGTGTGGACTTCTCCCTGGGGAACAGGGACAGCAGGAGAGATGGACATTGTTACTGGTAGCTCTGGAGCTGCAGCTCTGATATTGGAGGGAAGGAGAGAGTATTTATAGCCGCACCTCTGAGTTTTGACTGATGGGAATGTCTGTGTTTCTGCCCAACCCAAAAATCTCAGAGCAAGGGTTCTTAAAGTTTTGGGGGTCAGGTACCCCTTTTAGAAGCTAAAAGCCATGGATCCTCTATCCAGAAAAAAAAGCGCTCCCCTTAAGCATGCTGGAGCGCATCAACAACTTTGCACATGATTTCAGAGGGGCTCTTAGAGCCCCAGAAGCCCATCCACAAGTCCTCTTAGGATAGTAGGTCTCACTTATTATTAGTGTTGTTATTGTTATTATTGCTATTATTATGTTACTATTTTGCCTACATGCTGCGCACAGTAATATTTTTCATGGCATGTGCTGATTCTCTGGGGGCAACGCTGCGGGAATGGGGAAGGACAAGGGTAGTTTGAACATCACTGGCCAAGGAACTCGTGGAACTGGGTTAGCAATACCTGGCATAGAGGGTTGTTTACTTTGCTTGAAAAGTAGAGAGGTGAGAACAGTTTCTCCTTCCCCAGACATTGCCTGGGCACCTTCCTTGGGTTTCACAGAAGGAACTTAGAGCCCTAGAGTGAGCAGGGGACACTGGGCATGATATTTGGGCTTCTCTCAATATTCCTTGCTTGCAGTCCTTGCTGAGGAATGCCTCTGCTCATCCCAGAGAACCCTGATGCCCAGGCTCTGAGGCTGCTTTAGAAGGTGGGTGAGGCCAAGCAGGATGGGAGTGCTGCTGCCCCCCATTCCCAGGCTCCCCAGCCTGGCTGCATTCACTTGCCTGGGGAAGGTGGGGAAGCTAATGACTCATTATCCCAGCCATTAGTCACACCACCAAGGCATGTGATTCCCTGCAGGACTGGTGCCACCTGTTCAGTTGCTGCTCCTCTCCTGCTCTGGATGGGGAGTGCAGCTCAAGGACCAAGAGACTGGGACAAAAGGGTCCTTCACCTGTCCACCGCAGGGCCACACAAGACCACCAGGGACCAAGGGGACTTGCCATGGAAAGGAATATGTGGACATACTCCTTTGTAAGCAGAGATTCCCCCACATGGCCCATACGTACATCAAACATGTAGATACCTCTGTCTGCATACACATGGGCTCATAGATGTGTGAACACAGGTGAAGGAAAGGCTGTGCCTGGTAAAATAAGCCCTCCGAGGCCAGAACAGGGAAGAGCTTTAACAGGAAGCACTCGGGAGAGGGAGGGGTCCTGTCTTCTTTCCCCTCCCCTGGGATGCTCTTACTGAGCTGGCCAGCCTCCAGGTTGGCCCCAGGGACTCTCCAACTTCTTGACATCAGTACAAGAGCGGGCCAAACAAAGCTCTCTTATAGAACAGCAGTGACCACCTGCCAGTTACTAAGAACGAAGGTAAAAACCAGGTGAGAACCTTTTTTGTGTGTGATTATTTCCTAAGTCTGGCTTTCATATTCTAACACTAGACACAGTAAACGATGGGCCTCAGTTCCCCTCTTTCTAAAAGAACAGCATCTCCACCCACCTCTGGGGCAGTCTGTGGTCCTGTCTCCAATGCGTTGTCTCCTCTCCCTGGCAGGGAGAGGTCTTGCAAAATCGTAGCCCCTCCATGTTAGCTGAAGAGCAGGATCTGGACCAAAAGAGGTGAGAAGTCCAGAGCTGACAGGGATCAGGTCGCCCCTGCGTGCCAGACCCTGTGTGAGGGGTTTTCTGTACCCTATCTCATGTAACACTTCATACCAGTCCTGAGAAGTAGTCCCTGTTTCACAGATGATAAAACTGAGGCTCAGAACGTTAAGTCACTTAAGTTTTCCAGAGATAGTTTTGAGCAGCCACATCAAGCTTCAGACCCTGTTGTCCGATCCCCCACCTCCGCCCCCACCTCTAACACAGCACTGTTTTCAATCCAAGTGAAAAGAGCACCTCCTCCCCTTCACCCTCCTGGAGGAGGTGAAGGGCTCAGGCCAGGGCTTGGGGCCCTAGGTCCTAGTCCCAACTTTGCCACCATGTTTCTGTGATCAAATCCCTGCTCCTTTCTGAACTTTTCCCTCCTCGCTTATAAAACAGTCAGCTTGGCCTCAATAATGGCCAAGCCCCTTCTCCCCCCGCACACATCCACCCTAATGTTTTAGAGTCTATACATGGCCAGGGTAACCCTCCACCCAGCCCGTCTTTCTTTCCTGTGGGGTCTGGTCTGCAGTAAGCAGGATCGAGATGGAGAGAGCAAGCCTAGCCTCCAGAAACATGAATGAATGAAGGGAAGCCCTCCCTGCATAGGAAATAGAAATCTCTCACTCTCGACTGCTGGACTCATCAATAATTCAGGGACTGCTGTCAGGTCTCATCTCTGCAATGGCTACATCAATATTTCAGCACCTTCTCCAGAGCCCTGTTCCTTAGCAACCACATCATCCAGGCGCTCCAGGAGGGCCGCTGGGCTGTGTGCTCCCTGCGCCCCCAGTCCTATAGATGCTGTCCAGGATTGTCCTTGAGGGTAGGGGGTGGAGCCACCTATGCCAACTGGAACAGGCAACTTTGGTCCTCACAGCACCAGGGGCAATGCTGCACACAGGAGACGTGTACACACCAGGTGAGGGAGAGGAACGGCATGGCGTGTCAAAGCCCCCACAGGTCCACCCTGGACAGGAACAGACAGATAAGGAGAGGAATTTGGTATATCTTCCTGGCCTGCCTGAGACTGGCACCCCGTCTCCTCGTCCTAGCATGGGCCAGGCCTGCCCTTGCCCCCTGCCTCCCTAGGTATGGGGGAAAGGAGAGTTCTCTCTTCTCCCCCTTGCCCGGGCTCAGGTACTGGTTCCTTCTGTGGCCCAGGTGCGGTGGAGGCTTGCCTCCTTCATCAGCTGAGACGCCGTGCCGCTGGCTTCCTGCGCAATGACAAGATGGCAGCCCTGTTCACCAAGGTGGGGAAGACGTGCCCAGTGGCTGGGGAGATTTGCCACAAGGTACAGGAGCTGCAACAACAAGTCGAGGGCAGGTGAGCCCTGGGCCAGCCCCACCCACCACTCTCTTCTGCTCTTTCCACTTGGCATTTGCTCCTGCCCAGGTTGGCTTCCTGGGCTCGTTTCTTGCAGGGCCTCTCAGGACCTGCCTAAGGGTGGGCACAAGGCCCTATTCGCCCACCTTGAGGCCCCCATCCTGGTCAGTCCTCTGGGTTCTCGTCTTGTGGCACCAAACTTCACTCCCAGTGTCACCAGTCCGGGGCTTACCCCCCCAGCCTTCACACTCCTAACGTGCATCCCCTCTTTGCAGGAAACCCTTGGCCAGCAACCAGGAGCCTCTGCGAAGACAGGGCTCTGCCAGTGGGAAGTCCCCAGCCCTCAGCCCGCAGGCCTTGAAACACGTATGGGTACGCACAGCACTTATTGAGAAGGTGCTGGACAGGGTTGTGCAGTACCTGGTGGAGAACTGCAGGTGAGTGCCCCTCCCTGGGGCCCACCTCCTGAACACTCAGTCCTTCTGCTCCACCCCTCAGCATGCTTGGCTGTCCACAGTACTCTGTAGGCATACCCCGTCTCCCCCGTAGCACCCTGAAAGCATAGACCACATCAGGCACCCCACAAAGCTCAGTCCTTGTGGGTTTATTTCTTCTTGGTGACTGATATGAATTTGGTCTTTGTGGGGACATCCCTACCTGGTGAGCTTGACTGCCCTGGAATGAGTCTGGGAGCCCCAGCAGTCCCACATCTGTCTCTCCCCCTGGCAGCAAGTACTACGAGAAGGAGGCGTTACTGGCAGACCCTGTGTTTGGCCCCATCTTGGCCTCTCTTCTAGGTGAGCCTGAGAGCAAAGAGACCTATGCTGGGCCAGTGGGGACTGAGGGGCAGGTGCTGAGGGGGCACCTTCTGAGCTGGCTGTCCCTGTCTCCACAGTGGGACTCTGTGCCTTGGAGTACACCAAGCTCAAGACAGCTGATCACTACTGGACTGACCCCTCTGCTGATGAGCTGGTTCAGAGGCACCGTATCCGGGGTCCCCCTAATCGCCAGGACTCCCCTGCGAAGCGCCCAGCCCTAGGAGTAGGTGTCCCTCTCCTCACCCCTTGTGCTCACCCTGATTGTGCCCATGGACCAATTGGGAAAGCAGCCGGCCTCCAGGCTTGCAGACACAGGCTGCACCTTGGAGATGCCGCAAGGTAGTGGCCACCTTAGAAAAGCCTTTTGCCCACACTGGCACTTACATAAATACCAGGAGCACCCCACTGGTCCGTGCCTAGAGAGCACAGGGTGGCTGAGGGCAAACTAGGGGCAGGAAGGACTGCCGGAGTCAGCTAGAGGGTCTGCGTGGAAGGAAGCTGAGGGTTCTCAACCTCCCAAGTTGACTTCCCAGGGCTGGGGCTGAGCTGGGACTTCCTGTGCAGATCCGGAAGCAACACTCCAGCGGCAGCACATCAGGAGACAGGTTAGCTGCCTGCGCCCGCGAGTATGTGGAATCCCTGCACCAGAACTCGAGGACGCGGCTGCTCTATGGCAAGAACAACGTGCTGGTGCAGCCGGTAGGGAAGCCTAGTGTTCCCCCCACATCTACCGCCTCCAAGGACCCCAGAACCACAAGCTTCCAGCTACATTTGTCCCTTTCCTAAGGAGCTTGACCAGAGAGAAAGGGGAGAAGGGCCCCACCCCCATTTCACTGTTTCATACTCCTCACACCCAGCCTTGAGCTGGCAGGAGCCAGCAATGGCATCTGCTCTGGCTAGCTGAGAAACAGGCCACCCAAGGGTGGGAATGGCAGCCATCAGGCAAGGTGAATGCCCAGCTTGGGTATGGCCAGCCCAGGACACACCTGGCATCCAGGAGGTTGACAGGGCAGAGCCAGTGGCACCTGGCCAGCCAGGAAGAGGAGATGCCCCCATCTGGGTGTGGTTCGTGTTCCCCTTTGTTTCCACCTGGCCCCCATTCCAGGACCTCGTGACTGGACTAGCTTGGCCTCCCCCACTCACACCTGGAGCTCGTTTTCCGTAGGCCATCCCTGGGAGCCGCTCAGTCCCTCATCATCTCTGTCTTCTGGTGTGTCTCCTCCCTGTAGAAGGAGGACATGGAGGCTGTCCCTGGCTACCTCTCCCTGCACCAGTCTGCAGAGAGCCTAACTCTGAAGTGGACACCCAACCAGCTCATGAACGGGACTCTGGGGGACTCCGAGCTGGAGAAGAGGTGGGGGTTTGGGGACTCCCAGGAGCCAGGGAAGGGAGTGAGGGCTTGTCCCCAGGCAGGGGGATGGAGAGACTCAGCCTGCTCCAGGAGGCAGGCCTCACACCTTACCCGATGCCAAGAATTGCAGAGAGGCTGCCTGGAGAGAATCCCAAGCTCTCTAAGATCCAGCCAGGCCTGGGCATGAAGAGGTTTGCCTGAGCCAAGCTCTGGGCAACTGAGACTGCCAGGCTCTTTGCCATGAGGGCAGCATGGGGCCCCGAGGGACTTGGCTGGCTGAGGTCACATCTTGGCTATGGTCTTCCTGTCTTCGGGGTAGTTTCACAGGTGTTGGGGCCACCAGATGAGGAAGACTGGATGGCTGGTCTTGGGACACAATGACACCAATCTGGTTTCTTTCCAGCGTTTACTGGGACTATGCCCTGGTCGTGCCCTTCAGTCAGATCGTCTGCATCCACTGCCACCAGCAAAGTGAGCCTCCCTTGTCCTGGGCACCGGGGAGAGGGGAGAGACTGTCGTTCCCTAGCCACGCACTGTGCACGGCCCGTCCGATGTCTGCTCCTCCTTTTGTCATCCCCACGCCCCAGCCCCACTGTCCTCCTACCCAGCCTGGAGGCCTGGCCAACTGGGCTGCAGTGATGGCTGGGAGGTCTCAGGGAATCCCAGCCTCACTCCCCCATGTTCATCCCCCAGAAAGTGGTGGCACACTTGTGCTGGTGAGCCAGGATGGCATCCAGAGGCCACCCCTGCACTTCCCGCAGGGAGGACACCTGCTGTCCTTTCTGTCCTGCCTGGAGAACGGGCTTCTGCCTCGAGGACAGCTAGAGCCCCCGCTCTGGACCCAGCAGGGGAAGGTACCTCAGGGCTTGGGAGGCTCTGGGTGGAGGGATGTGTGTGGCGGGTTCTCTGCCCACCTGCCTTCCTTACCCACGTGGAGTTCTTAGGAGCAGCCTTGGGTGGGACTCTGCCCTGGAAAGGCTGACAACCCATCTCTCGCTCCCTAGGGGAAGGTGTTCCCCAAGCTACGGAAACGCAGCAGCATGCGGACTGCGGACATGGAGGAGATGGGCACAGGGAGGACCACGGACTACGTGTTCCGGATCATTTACCCTGGACACAGGCATGAGCACAGTGAGTGCCCCACACTTCTTCCATGGGGTGGGGGAGCACAGCATCACCCAGGGCGGCAGCAGGCACAGCCACTAACCGGGCCAGTTAAGACCAGTGGTTCAGTTCTTAGCCTCTCACTGGACCTTTTCCCTGCAAATCATCCCCCTGAGACGTTACCTCTCCTCTGCCTGCTGTTTGCCCCCTACCTTGTCACCCCAAGACTCTTGGCTTAACAGAGTCAGGCGTCTGTGCACAGGATTCTCTTAGTCATCCTTTCATGCCCTGCCCCAGGAGGAAAAAATGTGGCAGGACTAGAAATAGAAGGTGGAGAACTCTTCATTTCTCCTTGGCCCACTGCCTCACGTCCACAAGGCGGCCTGGGTGCGGGATCAGTGTTTCTTTTTGGAGGGTGCAAATTGTTCACCGACTCTGCTGGAGCCAGAATGCCCCTCAAACCAGCTACTGATGAGAGGAGCTGTAGCTGGAGTAGGGGGTGCATCCGAAGAGGATGAGACTTGCAGCCGGCGGGGGTGCTGAAAAGGGGCCTGGCCCTCGTGGGTCCTGCCCCTCCTGGATGTATGCCTCTGGGCTCAAGGGAGCCTGTCTATAGGTATCTACCAACACTGGAGTTCCCTTCCTGGTCAGAGTGCTGTGCTCCCTACGGGCTTCCCTGGGACAGACTTGCTGATCTGGGGGAGAAGGGCGGGGAATTTGCCAGCCCAGAGCATTTATTACCAGCCAGACCACCTGCTCTCTAAATTTCCTACCCTGTGCCAATAAATTGTCAACAAGTTGTCTCTGTATTAGCAGACATATTACCCAGACTGCAAACACATAGCCCCAGTACCAGCAGTCCCTGCAGGCTTGGAGGGCACAAGTCGTGGGGATCCCGCTTCCCTCCCTGATGTGCCTGACTAGGAGACACATCTTCTGCCAGAGCGTGTTTGCAAACCTGGATGTAGTCTCAGGCTGTTGCTCGGCTTCAATTATTTAGTCTGCACTTGCTCTCTTCAAGCCTCTGCATCTCCCATTTCTGGTCACTTCACTTCAAGGACCACTTTCCTGGAGGGCAAGCTGGGGCACCAAGGAGCTGAAACCCAGTGGGGTGACTCAGCCTCCTCGAGAGCAGCTCTGGGAAACCCTGGGAGGAGGAGGTTGGATTTATAGCCTGAAGAGGGGATTTGGGGTCATCTTCAAGATTTGGCCCAGCCTGACCATGACGCAAGCTGCAGTAGGATAAGAACCCATCTGCCAGCAGTCGTGCCCAGCCTTGGCCAGGACTGGGGAACTCCGGAGCTGCCGGCCGGCCGGCATGTCCCAGTGGGTTCCCTGTCTTTCACTACCCTGGCTCCCCCCATCAGTTCTCTCTTTTCTGTTCTTCCTAGAGAGGGCCTCCTCCAAAGAGTGGAGCTCTGTAGCTGCAGCCTTCCCCCCTCCTTCCTCAACCTCCCCCCCTGCACTTTCTTCCATACTCTCCCCAGGAAATCATCAAAAGACTCTCGGGTCCCCCCTTCCCCTCTTTCATGCCCTGCAGGCTCAAGGTGACCCAGACTCCATTCTGCTCCCCATGAGGACGGAGTTGGGTTCCTCCTGGCCCGGACTAGGGTCCTCACGCTCCGCCTCTCTCGCCGTTCTCTTTGAGCAGTCACTATTAACTACCACCACCTAGCGGCCAGCCGGGCGGCCTCGGTAGACGATGATGAGGACGAGGAGGATAAACTCCACGCGATGCTGTCAATGATCTGCTCGCGGAACCTCACAGCTCCCAATCCGATGAAAGGTTTTTATCCCTCCCCGTCCCTGACCGACCCTGCCCCTCCCACCCCACCCCCTGGCCCCCCCTGCCACCCACCGCAGGGGCTCAAACGGCAGTGTTGGCATTATGGGACTTGCACCCAGGGTGGTTCCCTTCCATCAGCAAACAGATCAGGGCGGGCGGGAGGAAGCCCTGGCAGGAAGAGGGGACCATACAAAATGCAGCTGGCTCTGGGCTCCCCATGGAGTGAGGAGGAGGAAATCCACTGGTGGGAAGGCCTGATGATCTGGTTGCCCCTTGGGAACCCTGAATGGCTGTCTGAGCCCTGTTCCCACTCCTGGGGGTCATTCGGGCAAACCGAAGAGAGTGTTGCTTTCTTTCTCTCCTGCTGGCTGGGCAGACGGGCCTCTGGGCCATGTTCCTCTGACTCCTGAATCAGTGGAAACAGGAGGGAGGAACCAGGCCCCTCCTGGGCAGGGTTAGGGGCTGGACAGCTCATGTAGACAGGAGTCACCTGTGGATCATGTGAGGGGCTGGGACCACCATGGAAGGAGACCCAGGGCTCAGTTTACCCAGCAGTCCTGGGTGCTCCAACAGGCACTGCCTGGAGTTGGAAATTTCTAGCATGAAATCTAGAAATGTGTGCCAGGGATATAAGTCAGGTGTGTTCCACTCTCATGGACTTCAGAGTACACGGTTGCAGAGGCATCCTTCATTGTAAACAATACAGTACAGTACTCATAGCCACTATGTCCATTACCCATCTTAGCACAGAGGTAGGCTGGTGGAGGGGGAACCCCACTCTCTGGAGAGTGATCAGCCAGGAGACCTGTGAGGGCTAGGCTAGGGTGCTCAAAGGAAGATTGATTATGAAGGAGTTAGGGCCTGCTTTCTCAGAGTTTAGGGGAACTTCCCCATTCCCACTCATTCCCAAGCCACAGAGTCAATTTTTCTCTCTCCGTTCTTTACCTTATAGCAGGTGTCTAAGAATATGTGACACTCCCCTAATGCTTCTACACAGTTCTGCCAAAGAGCCCAGTTCCAAGACAGTAATGAGTCTCCCCATCCCTGGGCAACCAAGTCCTAGAACACACCTAGCACACCCTCAGCACAACCCTACCAGCTGCCACCACAGGACCCACCACATACATGCCTTCATGTCTACCCTCCCTCCCAGCCATTCCAGTAGGAGCTACAGGCCAGCCCGGGTAGGATTGCAGGGGAGCCTCACTGCTGAGGTTCATTGCCGGCACACAGCCTGCCACCTGGTTCCTAGCAAGCCTGGGCTTGGGGCTGATGCTTATTTACAGGTTAGCTGACTTTGAGCAGTGTGGAAAGGCTGAGTCAGGAGGGCCAGGGCTGACGGTTCTTAACCCCACAAACTGGTAGTCAGGCTGGAGGCCGGGCAGAGGGGTGAGTCCCGGAAGAGCCCCTATTTCGGCAGACTTGGTGATAGGAAGCCCACCCCTAACTAGTCTCAATGCCGAGGCCTCCAGGGTCAGAGAAGCCTCCAGGCCTACAGGGTCCAGAAGCCTCAGGGCTTGTCTGGCATCCTCTTAGAACTTGGGGGCCAGACCAACCCAGTATGCCAGTATGCAGTCCCTGGGATTCCAATACTCTGGAAAGGGGAGAAGGCATGAGAGCAGAATCAGCAGGTGGTTGGGGAGATGGTATGGGAGCTCCCACTCCACTCCAGTCCATAATGACAACACTGTTGAGTCCATCCTGCTAGCTGTTGCTTTTCAGGCCTGCAACATGCTTGACTTGTGCATGTGAATCAAGTGGCGGGTGTCCAGGCTCTCCTTTCCCTCCCTCCCCTTCCTGCTTCCTCCCCACAGAGCAGAGATGCTGTTCACTCTAATTCTGCTCCAGGCCAGGCACCTTTCACTCGGAGTCTTAGGGGCTGTGGGGTTCAACCACCCTGATTGTTTTGCTTCAGACTTTCCTCAAGCCCAGAGGAGAGAGTCAGAGTCAAAGCTGGCCCAGCAGAGCCCCCATCCAGCCTGCTGTCCCTTGCCCAGTCACTCCAGAGCTCCAGCTGTCTGCACTGGGTTAATTCAGAAATTCAGTGTTCAATGCTGGCTGGTTCAGCTCCTTCCTGGAGAATTAAGGTGAAGAGCATTGACCCAGGAGCCCTGCCTTGGCTGAGCCCTGCTTTCTGGGCATGAGCTTGTGTCCCTTTGTGCCCACCTTTCTGCCTCTGTTGCCCCCCTCACCCCC